TCCTACTGAATTTCATCTGTTTTGTACATAGTATTAAAGAAACAAAAGCAGTGCTGCTCATTAAATTGTGTTGTGCCGTCAATTGTGAGATATACTGTGATTTCAAAGATGTTATTTTTGCTTGTTTTTCATCCAGTGTTCTGAATGTTATTAAAATATGAACAAAAAATGCATTGAGAATCAATACATTTGTGTTGGAGCTACTTTAGTTATTTTTAAGCTAAAGAAATCTTACTAGAATAGCAGCAGTCACATGGCTTTTCAGCTTCAATTTTAGGGAAATGTGTACCATCCAGGTCAACACCAGCTTAATTTCTCTAGAAAGCTTTAAAATCTGCTATGATCATAATGAAATTAGCTTTGAATAATAGAGATTAGGGAAAATGAATTTTGCTAAAATTAGGAAACAGAGTTATTAAGGGCAATAAAACGTTGTAAGAAATTGAAATAATGTTTAGTGACTTATGGATAAGTTATTTGGGTGTTCTTCTCTTTTAACAATAAATGTTCAGATTTACAGTGTGCCATTATGCCTCTCCCCCTCCCTCATCATGTTGAATTTACTCATGAGCTGAAGAGTCTTGGTAATTGAGAAAGTACCGCAAAATAGTGCCCTACCATCCTTCATTCTGACAATGCATTCATAAAGAATTCTGCTTTTCAGAGCAAGTAAGCATAAACTGTGCCTCTGTGAATACCAAAGGGTACTACTTTGCATGTGCTGTATTTGTGTGCTTCCGCCTTATAGAGGCAATGATTGTGCAAATGTTTTTTGTTTTGTTTTGTTTTGTATCCATTTCTTTTTTTCTTTTCTTTCTTTTTTTTTTTTTTTTTAAAGACGGGGTTTCGCCATGTTAGTCGGGCTGGTCTTGAACTCCCGACCTCAGGTGATCCACCCACCTTGGCCTCCGAAGTGCTTGGATTACAGGCGTGAGCCACCACGCCTGGCCTGTGCAAATGTTTTGCTAGCTCATAGAGTGTTGAGAGCAAACCCTGGGATGCTTTAGTAGGTAGAAGGGTAAGGGACAGGAACAAAAACAGATTCTGAAGAACTGAGTGAAACGGGCATTCTGCTAGTTACTGGTGAACTGTTGGAATAGCATTTAAAGGAAGGTGGTAAAAAAAATTTTGTTTTTATTCATTTGAAACTTTATAAAGCATGATTTGGGAAAAATTATTATTAAATCTTTGAGAGCATAGATTATGAAGTCATATTGGAAAATACCGTTACAACTGTAGAATGAATATGTATAAATAAGAATAAAAATTTATTCCAGTTGTTTCTGATGAAACTGTTAAGCATTATCCTTGGCCTTGTTTGTGCTGTATCTAGTAATTACCTATTTTATTCCAAATTCTGTAACTTCCAGGCTACTTACTTCAGTATACAAAAGCCCCCAATTTTTATAAATTCTTATGGGTTAGTAAGCAGAGGTAACTGTTACTTAATTTTTTAAAAATTTACTGTAAAATAGAAAGGCATTAATGGAAGAGGGATGATGCTTGTTTATTGAACAGACTGGATATATCTTACTTCGAGTATGTGTGTATATATATATTTTCTCAATTTAGGGCTTGGTGGGGGTTCTGTGTTTTGTGTGTCATTCATGGAGTCGACCAGGTTTTAGTGTGCCTCCCACACGTCAGGTCCTGACTCAGCAATAGGAAATTAAAGACTCAACAGTGAAGTAGTGGGAAGAGTGCAGAGTCTATGAGGGGAGGGAGTCATTGAGGTAATGCAGTAGAGACCTTTGTGAAGACCAGATTGCAAAGGAAGGAGCATGTGGCCTCCCTGGCGAGAAGAAGCAGTAAAGGGATGTTTTGCAGTGATGGTGGTTAGGAGCTGAGTTTTGAAGGGTGAATAGGAATGTACAGGCAAACAGGGAAGGTACTTGGGCAGAGGGACATCTGCCAGGGAGAACTCCATTGGAGCTGGTGGAGGGAGGTTTAGTGCTTGCAGAGACTTAGAACCTGGAAGGCTAGGAGTGTGTAGTTTATCTTGTTTTCTCAGAGTATATTTTATAGAAATCCAAGCCTCTTGAGATTCTCTGGGGGGCAAAAAGGAATATGCATGATCATTACAACATTAGACTCTTAAAAAGTGCTCAGATAAGAAACCTATCTCCTGCTTATCTGCCAGAGAAGGTGTTTTAGGAAGAGCTGCTGTTGGGCAGTGGGGAGCTCTTAAATATTTTAAGCAAAGGAATAACTTTACTTGACCTACATTTAGAAAATCAAATAGTAACAGTGAGGAGTTATAGTTGGGGGAGATTGGTGGCAAGGAAACCAGTTTAAAACTATTATCAATTTTGGTTACATAAAATCTGATCATAGATGTAAAGATGCTTAATTTCAGAATGTAGGAATTTAGGATACTTTTAAGAAAAATCTTTTCTGAGACGGAGTCTTGCTGTGTTGCCCATGCTGGAGTGCAGTGGTACAATCTCGGCTCATTGCAACATTTGCCCCTGCAGGGTTCAGGTGATTCTCATGCCTCAGCCTCCTGAGTAGCTGAGACTACAGGCGTGGGCCACCACGCCTGGCTAATTTTTTTATATATTTAGTAGAGACAGGGTTTCGTCATGTTGGCCAGGCTGGTCTCAAACTCCTGATCTCAAGTGGTCCACCCACCTCGGCCTCTCAGAGTGCTGAGATTACAGGTGTAAGCCACTGCGCCTGGCTGAAAGAAAAGATATCTTAACAACGAACTAAAATTATATGCTTACTGGAATGCAGAGATTTTAAGGCTCACTCTGTTGCCCAGGCTAGAGTGCAGTGGTATGATCGTAGCTCACTGCAGCTTCAAACTTGGGGGATCAAGTGATCCTCCCACCTCAGCCTCCAGCTGAGACCACGGTCATGAGCCACCATTCCTGGCCTGTTTCTCGACCTTTTAGCAAAGATTAGACAGAAATATTTTATAATTCTTTCTGATTAAGGAAAATCTTTGTTTTAAATTTTACTTCATTTTTTTTTAGACAAATCTCATCCTGTCACTGGAGTGCAGTGGCGCAATCTTGGCTCACTGCAACCTCACGCCTCCCAGGTTCAGGTGATCCTCCTGCCTCAGCCTCCCGTGTAGCTGGGACTAAAGTCACATGCCACCACACCTGGCTAAGTTTTGTTTTGTTTTGTTTGTTTTGTTTTGTTTTAGCAGAGTCGGGGTTTCACCAGGCTGGCCAGGCTGGTCTTGAATTCCTGACCTCAGGTGATCCACACACCTTGGCCTCCCAAAGTGCTGGGATTATAGACGGCAGCCACCACGCCCGGCCTAAATTTTACTTTAGGTGTGTTTCTTTTTCTTTTTTTTTTTTTTTGAGATGGAGTTTCCCTCTGTCACGCAGGCTTGAGTGTAATGGTGCGATCTTGGCTCATGGCAACCTCCACCTCCCAAGTAGCTGGGATTACAGGTGCGTGCCACCATGCCTGGCTAATTTTGTATTTTTAGTAGAGATGGGGTTTCTCCATTTTGGTCAGGCTGGTCTCGAACTCATGAGCTCAGGTGATCTACCCACCTCGGCCTCCTAAAGTGCTGGGATTACACCTCGCCTGGCCAGGTGTATTGTTTTTAAAGGTATCTCTTTCATTTTTCCACCTAGGCAAGGGAAACAAGAATAAAATTTTCCTTCCAATATGATGTCTTAAGATGCTAGATCAAAGTGTTAGTATTTTTTTGAAATTAAAAAAAAAGAAAGCCTGGGCACAGTGGCTCATGCCTATAATCCCAGTACTTTGGGAGTTCGAGGGGGGAGGATTGCTTGAACTCAGGAGTTTGAGACCAGCCTGGGCAGCATGATGATACCCTGTCTCCACAAAAAATACAAAAATTAGCTGGATGTGGTGGCACATGCCTGTAGTCCCAGCTACTTGGGAGGCTGAGGCAGGAGGATCGCTTGAGCCCAGGAGGCAGAAGTTTCAGTGAGCCAAGATCTTGCCCCTGCATTCCAGCCTGGATGATGAAGTGAAACTCTGTCTCAAAAAAGTAAAATAAAATAAGGCCAGGCAATTTTTATTTTTTCAATTACACTATAAGGTATTTTTCTGTTTAAGGATCATTTATTTTTCTTTTACTGTGACATATTAGTATGCTTCCCTGCCAATTTCTTTTAAGGAATTGGATTTTTGGTCTTTTTGTTATCATTTTTTAGGAGTGCTTTATGTAGCCGGGCATGGTGGCTCATGCCTGTAATCCTAGCACTTTGGGAGGCCGAGGTGGGTGGATCATCTGAGGTCAGGAGTTCAAAACCAGCCTGACCATCATGGTGAAACTCCATCTTTTTAAAAAAAAAAAAAAAAAAAAAGAAAGGAGTGCTTTGTGTATTGAGGAGATTAGCTATTTATTTGTAATACGAGTTGCAAATATTTTTCCCTACTTTGTCCTTTTGCTTTATGAGATTCTTTTATGAGTACTTGAATATCAGTCTTTAAAAATAGTGTCTGGTTTTTGAGTCCTAGTTAGAAACAACTTTTATACTCCATGGTTGTGAAAAGGAATTTATTCTGGACTTTTTGTGGCTTTAGGATTTGTATCTAAATATTTGATCTATTAGGAACTTGTGCTAGTGTACAATGTATGGTATGAAATAATTTTTTTTTCCAGTTGGATACATTTTGCTCAAACATCACTCACTGTATGGTCTTTTTCCCTCCTTGATTTTTGAGATACCTCCCTCATCATTTGCCATGTTTTCATAGATAATTGGGTCTATTCCTGGGACATGACTTTGCCCCATTGACCTATACTGGTGCCGTTTATTTTGAGGCTTTATAATGATCTGGTAGCGCTGTTTCTTTTCTAGGACTCTCCTCATTTGGAATTTTCTTGACTTGTCTTTTTCATCTTTCTACATGAACTTTAGAATCAGCTTATCTATTATTATTTCCAGAAAATAATCCTGTAGGCATTTTTTTTGCGGGGGTGGAGGGATCACTTTAAATTTACAGATTAATCTCTTTGTGATAAGGAATCTAAATTGTAGCTTTAATCTTTTCTCTTACAGATGATATTAACCGTTTTCTTGAGCAACAATGAACAGATTTTAACAGAAGTTCCTATAACACCGGAAACAACCTGTCGAGATGTTGTAGAATTTTGCAAGGAACCTGGAGAAGGCAGCTGCCATTTAGCTGAAGTGTGGAGGGGAAATGGTATGTATTAGGTTCTGTAAAGGTTATTACATGTATTCAAATCACCATTACATGTTACATGTATTCAAATAACCATCTTTTAGCTAAGCTTGTGTTGGATTTGCTTTTTTTCTGATAAAGCTGAGGGAAAAAAGACAACTAAGTACATATAATTTAGTATTTATCAAATGGGAAATATTGCTTCTAGTTCTTAGTTATCTGTGGTAATAAATAATTGAGTAATTGAAATAAATGTAATTATATTGCACAGGGCTGGGTTTTACAAAATGCTTTTTTGTATACCTTTTTTTTGTGGTTTTTTTTTTTTTCTTTTTTTTTGCGGCAGCGTCTCACTCTGTCACCAGGCTAGAGTGCAGTGGCGTGATCTTCGGCTCACTGCAGCCTTTGCCTCCTGGGTTCAAGTGATTCTCTTGCCTCAGTCTCCTGAGTAGCTGGGACTATAGGCACATGCGACCACACCCAGCCAATTTTTGCATTTTTAGTAGAGGTGGGTTTCACCATGTTGGCCAGGGTGGTCTCGATCTCCTGACCTCGTGATCAACCCTCCTCAGCCTCCCAAAGTACTGGGATTACAGGCGAGGTGAGGCACTTCACCCTGCCTTTTTTTTTTTTTTTTTTTTTTTTTTTTTTTTTTTGGGAGACAGGATCTCACCTTCCCAGGCCAGAGTGATAGATGTTTGGATTGACTTTTTTTTTTTTGGCTGTTATGAATAATGCTCCTATGACTTTTCATGTACAAAGCTTTTTTGTTGTTGTTGTTGTTTTTTGAGATGGAGTCCCACTCTGTCGCCAGGGTGGAGTGCAGTGACGAAATCTCGGCTCACTGCAGCCTCCGCCTTCCGGGTTCAAGTGATTCCCCTGCTTTAGCCTCCCAAGTAGCTGGGACTACAGGCGTGCAACACCATGCCAGCTAATTTTTTGTATTTTAGTAGAGATGGAGTTTTACCACGTTGGCCAGGATGGTCTCGATTTCCTGACCTCGTGATCCACCTGCCTTGGCCTCTGAAAGTGCTGGGATTATACATGTGCGCCATTGTGCCTGGCCCCTACAAGTTGTTTGGGTCTTGTTTTTTGTTTTCCTCGACGGAGTCCCCCGGAGTGGAGTGCAATGGCATGATATTGGCTCACTGCAAACTCCATCTCCTGGGTTCAAAAGATTCCTGTGCCTCAACCTCCCAGGTAGCTTGGGCTACAGGCACACACCACCACACCCGGCTAATTTTTTGTATTTTTAGTAGGTTTTGCCATGTTGCCCCAGCTGGTCTCAAACTCCTGAGCTCAGGCAGTCCACCCACCTTGGCCTCCAAAGTGCTGGGATTACAGGCATGAGCTACCATGGCTGGCCCTGTACAAGTTTTTATATGGACATATGTTTTCATATCTCTTAGGTATAAACCCAGGAATTTCTGGGTTTTATGGTAATTCTGTGTTTAACCTTTTCAAGAACCACCAGACTATTCCTGATGCAGTTGCTTCATTTTACATTTCTTGCAGTAGTATATGATGTGGAGAATTTCTCCACATTCTTATCAACACTTGATACTGTCTGCTTGATTTTAGCCATCCTAGTTGTTGTGAAGATATGTCTTACTGTGGTTTTGATTTGCATTTCCCTAATGACTAATGATGGTGAACATCTTTTCAAGTGCATATATTGGCCATTTGCCTATCTTCTTTGGAGAAATGTCTATTCAGTTCTTTTGCCCTTTTTTTTTTGTTTTTTGGTTTTTTTTTTGAGACCAGGTCTTGCTCTGTTGCCCAGGCTGGAATACAGTGGCGCAATCCTGGCTCATTGCATCCTCCATTTTCTGGGCTTAAGCAATGCTCCCACCTCAGCCTCCTAAGTAGCTGGGACTAAGGCCTGCACCGCCAGGCCCGGCTAATTTTTGTGGAAACAGGCTTTTGCCATGTTGCCCAGGCTGGTCTGGAACTCCTGGGCTCAAGTGATTCACCTGCCTCAGCTTCCCAAAGTGCTGGGATTACAGGTGTGAACCACTGTGCCCCATCCCATTGCCCATTTAAAAAATGGGTTTTTTTTTTGTCACTGAATTGTAAAAGTTGTTTATGTATTCTAGATACAAGTCCCCTTATTAGGTATATAAATTATAAATTTTTTTGCAAGGTTTTGTGCTTTTTAGTTATCTTTAGAATTCAGAGTAAAGAATTTTAAGGATACATGGAGAGAAACTTGACTTTGATAAACATTGGATTATTACTAAATTAGAAGTAAAAGGACAGGCCCTCAATTGTTAGCCTAATGACAGCTGCAGGAAACAGGTAGGTAGTTAAGTAATTGTAATTAATTTTTTTTTTTTTTCTTGAGACAGTTTCCCTCTTGTTGCCCAGGCTGGAGTCCAATGGAGTGATCTGGATTCACTGCAATCTCTGCCTTCTGGGTTCAAGCAGTTTTCCCATCCTCCCGAGTAGCTGGGATTACAGGCATGCACCACCATGCCCGGCTAATTTTTGTATTTTTAGTAGATACAGGGTTTCTCCATGTTGGTCAGGCTTGTCTCGAACTCCTGACCTCAGGTGATCTGCCCTCCTTTGCCTCCCAAAGTGCTGGGATTACAGTCATGAGCCACTGTGCCCAGCCTTGTAATTAACGTTTTTAAGGGGAACAATGTTAGAACCTGATCATTCATTCCATTGTTTTTTTCTTTAGCCTCTTAGCACTTTTGTTCTGTTACTTGTTACCACTTCTAATTCCTCATCTGCCTTCCCATTGTAAGGGAATAACATTTTTACATAAGTATTGTAGCCCCGAATGGTCTGTGGCCACTTGAGAATGCTTATCTCCCATATGAGGCATTCAGTTGGTGCCGTCCTTGTCTCCAAATGCATCCCAAATCATAACTCTCAGTTTTACCTCCTCAAGGATGGGGACTACCACCCCTGGAGCACAGAATCACAGCACAATACATTTATCATGGCTTTTGTATATGTTCTTTCATTGTCTAGAACAATCCCTAGGAGCTTGGCTAACACCTAGTCTTTGCCTCTCACCCCTTCCATGAATCTCAAAGGGTGTTAAGTGTCCCTCCCTCCCTGTGTGCTAATACTGTTGTAGTATTTATCAAAACCTGATATAGGCTGGGAATGGTGGCTCATGCCTATAATCCCAGCACTTTGGAAGGCCAAGGTGGGTAGATCACTTGAGGCCAGGAGTTCGAGACCAGTGTGGCCAGCATGGCAAAACTCTGTTTCTACTAAAAATACACAAATTAGCCAGGCATGGTGGCACACACCTGTAGTCCCACCTACTTGGGAGGCAGGAGAATCGCTTGAACTCGGGAGACAGAGGCTGCAGTGAGCTGAGATTGCACTACTGTATTCCAGTCTGGGCAACAAAGGAAGACGGTCTCAAAAGAACCCAAAAAACATAATATAGTAGTGGTTTTTATCTCTGTCCTGTTGGGCTAAAATTCCTGAAGGCGGGAACTTGTCTGTCTGTTCACCATTATATCCCCAATGCCCAGCCTCTAGTGCTCATAGCAGGCATTTAGTAAACACAGATTAGTAAGTAAAACGGCCAGCAAAGCTGGATCTAGGAAGAGAAGGTAACTTCTAGTGGATGCCAATCCAAGGGAGAGGGAAAGCACTCGAAGAGCCTTTCTCAGTCCTTTTACCTAGAGGATTTTTTTTTTAGGTTTCATAGAAGCCTCACATAAAAATTATTCCACCTGACTGGGCGCGGTGGCTCATGCCTGTAATCCCAGCACTTCGGAAGTCTGAGATGGGTGGATCACAAGATCAGGAGTTCAAGAACAGCCTGACCAACATGGTGAAACCCCATCTCTACTAAAAATATAAAAAATTAGCTGGGCATGGTCATGGGCACCTGTAATCCCAGCTACTTGGGAGGCTGAGGCATGAGAATCACTTGAAACCGGGAGGTGGAGGTTGCAGTGAGCTGAGATCACACCACTGCATTCCAGCCTCTGTGACAGTGAGACTCTGACTCAAAAAAAATAAAAATAAAATAAAATAAAATTATTGCACCTGGCCAGGGGTGATGGCTCACACCTGTAATCCCAACACTTTGACACTTTGGGAGGCTGAGGTGGGTGGGTCACCTGAGGTCAGGAGTTTGAGACCAGCCTGGCCAACATGGGAAAGCCCTGTCTCTACTAAAAATACAAAAAATTAGCCGGGCGTGGTGGTGGGCACCTGTAATCTCAGCTACTTGGGAGGCTGAGGCAGCAGAATTCTTTGAACCTGGGAGGTGGAGGTTGCAGTGAGCCAAGATTGTGCCATTGCACTCCAGCCTCTGGGCAACAGGAGTGAAACTCTGTCTCAAAAAAAAAAAAAAAAAGTTATTGCAACCGTAACTACTGACAGTATGATCAGTATGTCATAGATAGAATCCTTCAATAGTAATTACCAATGCTTTCCAGTAGAGCTATTTCACTGTGAATCTGTGCATTATTATTTTGCTAAGGCTACCATAATAAAGTGCCACAGACTGGCACTTTGTTAACAACAATTTGTTGACAATTTGTTAATTTGTTAATTAACAATAATTAATGTTCTCACAGCGATGGAGGCTAGAAGTCTGAGATGAAGGTGTCAGCAGGCTTGGTTTATTCTGAAGTCTCTCTTCTTGTTGGTGGTTGTTTTCTCTTCCCTGTGTCTTCCCTCCATGCATGTCTGTCGATAAGCCTCCTCCTCTTGTAAGGAAACTAGTCCTATGGGATTAGGGGCCACTTTGCTGATTTCATTTTAACTTCTTGCCTCTTTAAAGATCTTATCTCCAAATACAGTAACATTTTGAGGTACTTGAGGTCAGGACTACAGCAGATGAATTTAGCAGGGACACAGTTCAGCCTTTAACAGTCTGTGAATTTGGCCAGGTCATTACCTACTCTGTGTGGTTTCCTTCCCCACACGAGTGTCAGTTCTAATGCCAGTCAGTAAGGTAGATAGAACCTTCCATTTTTATCTTTTGTTAAATTTGCTACTTGATTTTTTTAAACCTTATTTAATTAAAGTACCTAAAA